TTGAACAAAGTTATAAAGTACTATTGTGCGCGCTTAGCACGTTTTTCAAATGGTCAAACAAACACTAATCTTTTTATTTAATTTCATTTTATTTACCTTCATAATCGCCACTTTTTCCTACTTTTCCCACCACTCCACACTCAGTGGCTGGGCCTCTTTCTCGTGGGCATCTCCCTGGCGCTGACCTCCCTGCCGATGATGATCTTCCCGCGCCGCCTCCCCGCTCCTGATCCGAGCAGTTACTGCCACCAGCAGCAGCAAAAGTCGCTGCTGGAGCACAAGGAACGCCTACTTCTTGAGCTAGAGGCCTCTCAGCAGCAGCAACAACAACAAAATTCTCAATTGAACACCGAAGTTCCCCTAGCGCTGGAGTACACTGACGCCGAGGAGAAGATAAACTCAAACGGAAACCACTCCTCCTTAAACTCCTCAAACTCTAAAAAACCCTCAAAAAAGCAAAAGACGAAAAACAGTTCAGAAAATCGTCCCAGCCTGAGCGGTTTCAGCGTCGCCCTCAAACGCCTGCTAAAAAACGACATTCTCCTCTGTCGAACCGCCTCCTCGGTGCTGCACATTCTGCCCATTTCCGGCCTGTACACCTTCCTCCCGAAGTACCTCGAGTCACAGTTTCAGCTGACGGCCAGTGAGGCGAATGCCATCGCCGGCTTGGCGGGCATTCTCGTCATGGGCTTTGGCGTCTTCTTCTCGGGAATATTCATGCGAAAGTACAAACCGAGTGCCAAGTATGTCGCTCGATGGCTCGCCTTTGCCGCCCTGGCTTATGTGGTTGGCATGACGATGTTGATGTTTCTCGGTTGTCCGACGAACAGCTACGCAGGACTGAGTGCTCAGAAAGAAGATGGGTAAAAAATTAATGAGATTTTTCGAGTTGAATTTTAAGTAATTTTTTTGTTTTATTTTAGAAATGACTTTTTCTACGGCCCAAGTGGCCCCGGTGAGCCGCTGACCTGTTCCGGAGAGTGCGCCTGTCCGAGGGGAAAATTTGAGCCGGTCTGCTTGAAAGGCGGCAAGGTGACCTTCATTTCGCCCTGTACGGCCGGCTGTACGGCGTTTCAGAATTCGACAAAAGAGGTACTGAAAATCTAGGTTTTAAGTTNACTTTTACTTTTCCAGAAACTCTACCTCGACTGCTCCTGCTCCTCAGCATATCTTCCGCCCAATAATACTCAAAATCATCAAATTATCAAAAAAGAAAGTTCGATCATGGCTTCAACCTTGGCGGAAGCCATTCCCGGCCTCTGTCCCCTCCACTGCTCCACGCTGACCTTCTACACCATCATCTTCTCTATCACCGTCCTCATTCACTCCACCTCGGAAGTGGGCAGCATGCTCTTAACACTTCGATGCGTCGAACCGCAAGACAAGGCCATGGCCCTCGGTTTTATCAGTTTTGCCACGGGGCTTTTTGGTAAGCTGAGCACGAGTACATTTTTGTAGTTTTTTATTAAAATTTTTTTGCATTTTTAGGAAACGTTCCCTGCCCAATTATTTACGGTGCTATTGTCGACTCCACTTGTCTCTTCTGGGAGGAGGACAGCTGTGGGCGGAAGGGCGCCTGTCGAATCTACGACTCGACCCGTTTCCGGCAGTGGTTCCACGGCATCACCGCCTTTATCATGTTCCTCGCCTTTGTCATCGACGTGGTGGTCTGCTTCAAAGCAGACGCCATTCAGTTTCATGAGGAGGTAGCTGCTCCTGATCCGGAGAGGGAAGTCAACAAAAATAAGGAAGAGGATGGAGTTGTGACAACTCCTTTGTCCTTGGAATCAACTGAAGAGCAAAATAACAGCAAGAAGCCGTTGATGGCGAAGGGCAACGGAAGTCGAAATGGAGAGTCAGCTTGTTGAAATGTTTAATTTTCTGATTCGTTCAAGAGTGCAAGATGCTTTTTACCGGTGCTTAATTTTTTTGTTAATTGTTTTTTTTATTTCCTTTAAACGGTGTCACACATTTTTGCAATTTTTCTTTTATTTTTATTGATTTTCCACTGTAAATTATTGCCATTTTTACTTATTTTTGTACCTTTGTCACTTCACTTTTTTTTGTAAATAAGATTGCTTAACACTTTTTTTGCTTTCTTTCAAATGTCACATTTTTAATTTTTTTTAATCAGAACAATTATTTGTAAATTTTTTTAATTCTTTTGCTCATTTTATCAGACTTTTTTGTTAATTTTTACAATTATTTATACTTTTTTTAACTTGATTAAAATCTAAACAATGCTACAATTCATACTTGTTACAAAAAAGTTAAAAATGTTTGCTATTTATTGGTTGTAATAAAAACAAATAAAAACTGTTTTGTAATTCAAAGTTAATAATAGAAATTAAATTAAAATTATTATAAACAGTTTGAAGCTGCATCGTATCTAAACCCAAAAAACAAAAATTTACAAACACTAATTGAAAAAATAATTTAAATGTTTCTATCATTAATTTTTACTTAAACTAAATATCCAATAACCAATAAAAAATAAAATCATTGCACCAACAACGAGGGCAATGTCAATAAATAGAGTGATGAAAGAGAAAGTAAGGCGCCAAACCTTGCAATAAAAAATATAGTACGAAAAACCCCAAGACAGGTAAAAAGTGCAATGGTCAACAAGTGGTCATTATGGAAGCAAAAAAGCTGATGAATTGCTAATTAGTCGTTGAACGTGAACCTGTTTGCTAAACGGCGTTTTCTCCTAGCTGCACTCAGTCTGTCAGTCAGCGGTGTGTTGTTGTTGTTTCAACTCGCGTTCAAAAACAGTTTTCAGTTTTCAGAGTACGTTCAACTTCCGAGTACAGGCTCTAACATATAAATTAATAAGAGTAGTGAGTGAAAGATAGTGAGAGCAGCTTTTGGCATCTGGCAAATATACCAAACGGCTAGTTGTTGTTTTTTATTTACTGATGAAATGAGAGAGAGAGAAAATAAGAAGGAAACGACTTCAGTCACTGAGCTGATTTAGCCACTCTCACACTTTCTCAGTCTGTTGACAATTTGACTAGTCAGCCAGTCTCAGTTTGTCTGTCTGTCTGCTGGTCAGCTAAGTCAGTCAGTGTTTTTGCTCAGGTTAAACTGACAAAAAGGACCTTCAGATTTTGATGATGATGATGGTCAAACTGTGCACTGTATTTCCGTGATTGATGGAAAAATGTGTGTGAGCAAGTGTGAACGTGTTTATTAATGAAGATTTATGCAAAAGTTATAAGGGACAACTTTTTTAAAAATTGGGAGTTAATTAATAAGGTAGTTTTAAAATCAACCAATAAAAAAATGTTATTTACTTTTATATTTAATTACCTTTTATTTAAGCAACAGTACAAAATGTATTACCCAACATAAAAATTGGTACAACAAAAAATGCAAATTAAATGCTAATTAATTATTAACTAAACGGAGTTCAATGATAGAAACAAAACTAGAAAACAAATTAATGAAAAAAACAACAAAATCTTAAAAAGTAGTTCAAATTAGACGACTGGACTACTGGGCAACCATTAAATGCTTATTAGCTGCCTGAATATTAAATGATGATGATAACAGTTCAGCCAGTCAGTCATTTAGTCAGTCAATAGCAAATGCAGACACAAAAAAAAGTAAATTAAGTTAACCTTNATGTAAAATGACAGTAGACATAAAATATCAAGATCACAAAAAAATGGAACATTAGACTGTCAATAAAAAATAGGTGATTTCATTAACTTTTTTTAACCTCTAACACATATCAACCTAAGCTTTTTAAAATAAAAGTACCTAAAGTAAACTAAAAAACATTAAAATTTGCCTCTAACAATAATCGTGTAAAAAACATTTTCAAACTTACAATTGAACAATTGCCTAAGCAAACATCATCACAACATCATCCTAACATTTACCAACATTTACAAAATAGCAACAAAAAGTGCAAAACCATTATTCAACAACAAAAAGCTACATCATTTTCTGGCTCTAAATTGAATTGAAGAAGGATCAACACAGTGAGTATTTTATCCACTGCCATTGTACAAATCTTCTGCTGCTAATCTTCAACCTGAACAACAGCGGTAAACGATGCTTTCCGATGCTACCACCTTTTCTCTTTATTCACACCAGACTCCATCTCATAAGCAAACAAATGATTAAGCTAAAAGGAAAGCAGCAACATCAGTAGTAAATTTTTTATAATAGAAAAAGACTATCCCCTGCTGCGGAGTATTTCCTCCATTGTTGTTCACAATTGATCCAGCCAGCCAGCCAGCCAGCCAGCAGTCCAGAAACCGATAATGAGCGAAAAATTTATTGTTTCTTCTCTCATCTAATAAAGTTTGACAAAGGACTGAATGAAAGAATGAATGGATGAAAAATGCGAAGCGAAAAATGAAAAAGAAAGAAAGAAATCGGGAGATGCGTTACTTAGTGGCGGGAAGTGAGATGCCGTTGATG